GGCGGTCAGGCATACGACCGTTCAAGTGACTAGACTGCCGTGGTAGCGATTACTACTAGAAATGGGGCATAATCTGCTGTACAATGCCTGGATTGACAGAGGCGTTGTATATACTGTGCACAGAAGGTACAAGTGTGGATTTGTAAATTATGTAAATACAGACAGTGGACTTTTTAAAACAGACTGACTGATGACAGACCCGACCTCTCGTCAGAGAGGACGCCCCAAATGGACAGGACAGCAAATGTCACAAAGAAGAAAACATCTGGTCATGAGCCCCAGCTGGGGCTCGACACCAAGACAGACAGACTGACTGACCATGACTTTGACTTTGCAATCATCAATGATCACATTCAGTCATAAGAGTCATCAGGTCTTCACTGTGTTAAAGACAGCTGCGACCATGCAGCTAATGTATTTTCCGCAACTATCCAGCAACCATGTTCTGCGACCAGGCAGCTAACATACTTTCCGCAACTTTCCAGCAACTGTGCTTTGCTACTTGTCGCAACTCTCCAGCAACCACGGTGGAACAAATGGCCCTTTTAAGGGCCCGCACACTTATTGAGTGGTTGCCTACTGGAACATCGACGATCCCACAGGCTCTCATATTATTAACAACTGTGTCTCAATTAAATCCATGTTAGGTGGGTCCCTCGTCACCACGGCATGGCGAGTCCTCATGTTGCAGATGGAGGCGCCCAGCAGTTTTGGCGGGAAGCTGCGAATATATTGAATAAGCAGTCGTGTACAGATGACAAGGTGTGGCCAACCAGCTTGGGGGTTTGGCATGGGGCTAACAATTTCTCACCGTAAAAAAATTACTTTGTTACCAAAATGAACACAAAGCCTCGGATAAACGACCCAAGCTAAAGAAAATGGATATGAGAATTGGCACTTGGAATGTCTGCAGTTCGTATAGGCCAGGTTCGCTCAGGGCAGTGGCAGCAGAAACCTTAAAATACAAATTAGATTTAGCGGGAGTACAGAAGGTAAGTTGGGATGGTGGTGGCATCGAACCAGAAGGAGAATTACATTTCTCTATGGAAAGGGGAATGAAAATCATGAATTAGGTAGTTTTATTTGTACATAAGAGAATCGTTTCAGAAGAAATTAGTAATGATAATGGAGTTAGAGTAGTAAACTTTGCCACATAAAAAATCTTACTGTTAAGAAGTACAATGTTCCCACATCGTAACATCCATAAATTTAATTGGACAACTCCTGATGGGAAGATACACAATCAAATAGACCATATTTTGATAGACAGGAGACGGCACTCAAGTTTACTGGATGTTCCATCATTCAGGGCAGCAGATTCTGATACTGACCAATACCTGGTGGTGGCAAAGGTTAGGGAAAGCCTGGCAGTGAGCACACAAACAACACACAGAGTTCATATGGAGAGGTTCAATCTCAAGAAATTAAATTAGGTAGAGGGTAAAGAGCAGCATCGTGTTGAAATCTCAAATAGGTTCACGGCTTTGGAATACTTGGAGGCTGAGGTGGATGTTAATAAAGATTTGGGGAAACTATTTGAGAGAATGTAAAAATGTCTGCCAAAGAAAGTCTAGGTTATTATGAACCGAAGAAGCATAAGCCATGGTTGGATGAATGGTGCTCAAAATTATTAGATCAAAGAAAGCAGGCCAAATTGAATGGTTACAGGATCCAAGCGAGTTAATTGGGGATAATCGGAACAATAAAAGACGAGAAACCAGCAGGCATTTCAGGAATAAAAAGAGGGAATATGTGAAAGACAAAATTGATGAGCTTGCAATGAACAGTAAAAACAAGAACATTAGAGACCTGCATAGAGGAATAAATTACTTTTGAAGAGGAACTTAGTGAACATTTTGAATAGGTGGAAGAACTACTTCTCTCAATTATTGAATGTAGATAGGGTCAATGATGTTAGGCAGAAGAAATCCATACAGCTAAGCCGTTAGTACCTGAGCATAACCCTTTTGAGGTTGAAAGTGCTATTGCAAAATTGAAACGGTATAAATCGCCAGGTAGTGATCAAATTCCGGCAGAACTTCTTCAAGCTGGAGGCGAAATATTACGTTCTAAGATCCACAAACTAATTACTTCTATTTGGCTTAAGGAAAAATTGCCTCATCAGTGGAAGGAGTCTATTATTGTACCAGTTCACAAGAAGGTTGATAAGCCTGACTGTAGTAATTATCGGGGGATATCGCTGCTACCAACTTCATACAAAATGTTATCCAATATTCTTCTCTCAAGGTTAAGACCATACATACATGAAATTACTAGGGATCATCAGTGTTGGTTTCGACATAACAGATCAACTGCAGATTAATCTTTTGCATTCGACAAATATTGGAGAAAAATGGGAGTATAATGAGACAGTACATCATCTAATCATAGACTTCAAGAAAGCCTATGATTCACTTAGGAGGGAAGTATTGTACAATATTCTGATAGAGTCTGGGATACTCTTCAAACTAGTTAGGTTGATTAAAATGTGGTTAAACGAAACGTATAGTAATGTTGTATATGGAGGTATAGTAGTGCTACATATGGAAGTGTCATGTTTAAAAATCTTAATAATGAAAGTAACTGTCATATGAAATAATTAGTAAATAAGTTAGAACTTGTAAGAATGTACTAGAAATAATTGGATGAAACTGTTCAAACGAGATGCTGTAACTCGGACTTTCAACAAGGCTATTTGTAGAAGTTTTCAGATTTATCTTGTTTTGTATTAAGAAATCGAGGGAAACAACTGACCTATAAACCCTCAAAA